AAATTATTATATTATTATAAGGATTCGCATGTACTATATATATATATGWAATATAGTATGTATATTGYATACACACGACGTACCTATATAGTAATTAATTTAACCTCTCACACAAACGACGCAAATTATACGTACCTATATAKAAGTGCAGTATAATARCATACACCTTGAACTCTGTGGAATAACACTTCAAGTGCTCATCGTAACCCCGTTTATTTTTATTTAATTTTTTCATTTTTGTGATCGATAAAAAAACGGATGATGCGCGAACCGCGGCCGCTGTTGCCACTATATATTGCACAGACTATAATAACGGTCCAGGAAACGATGATGGAGACTGGAGAGGTGGGACCGTCAAAGACATAGTATTGTCCGAAGTAAAATATGTAAAATAACTAGTGAATGAGAGGAARATATTATGGAGCAAGATAGTTGGTTTCAATGGCAATGGACCTAAACAGCCCATAAAATATAGCCAAGAAAAACTATAGAAGATGAGATTATTGGTACCGGTGAGCAATGGGCATCAGTGCGTCACCGTTTTCCGCCAAAAACCGACCTTTCCGTTTACCACCAGCAATCCAGTAGAATAATGTATATTTCCGTTTTCCATCATCACAAATTTCAGTTTTCATATTTTGGGTAATCCCTTACCTATGGCTTAKTGTAAGAATTGAAATATGACATTTAGGAAATTATCAAAAATAATTAAAATTGTTTGAACTAAATTTAAAATTAGTCAGAAAAGGATAATAATCATTTTTAAGTTGTAAATATTGATAAAATATATTTATATGTGTTATACTTGTAGAAATACTAATTTGTGTAATTTAGTAAGGTACTTAACTTCATCATAATTTAATTTAATTGTGTAACTATTATTGAATATTAAATCTATTACTTATTTTATGTATTAACTTTATACCAATAAATTTATATAAACTTCATTGTGTTATTTATATATATTTTTTAATGTTTTCGTTTTTGTTTTCCCTTTATAATGTATAYATAAATATATAATCCTTATTTATGTGGTTTTGATACTTGATAATGCATTATACAATAGGTATCCTAGTTATATTTAGGTACAATACAAGAGTATTTATTTAATTTATAAATTTATGATTATTGCTTGAATATGTTTTTTTTTTCTGATATATCGAATTAATAATCGATGAACCTAATTTTTTTTTTAATTTAAAAGACATTGCTAATAATTTTCATCAACTTCACATATTTTCATAAAAGGGGCAATAGGGGTACTAAAATATAAAA